GTGTATTTGTATGTATGCAGGTTGGTTTATGTATGAAATAAATACACAACATGTATCTTATTTTGTCCCTTTTTCCTTTTACATAATTTTGTAAACTCTGGTTTAGTACTTTATAAATAAACATATTTATTATCATTATTATCATATCAGCTATAATTGATTCATTCTTTGAGTATTTTATTGTTTATTTCCTTATTTTCTTCAGCTTGTGATGGGCATTTTTCATTGTTTCCTGAATCTGATTAATCAATTCATTTATGAAAACAATCTGCAGATTAATCAACAATTAAAATAATCATTAAGCCCACACCCATCAGGTGTTAAACTTGTATTTTTTGAAATTTTCAGAGGCACATCAGCTGTGTAAAACTGTCTTACTGACTCGAAAGAATTTTCATTGAACAATAATCAATACTTATTAACACTGTGGAGTTTGCTGTGAGGAAAAGAATCACAGCACTGTGTGTAACTGTAGGTGTGTATCTCTCAGGCTTCAGGTTCCCAGGTAATAAATTTAAGATGTTAATTTATGACGACACAACAGAGAGGTTTAAAATGAGTTCCAGAGGAAGAACTTTTCTTCTCAGGACAGCGGGACCAGGTGACACCTGCCTTCACAGGTAAGACACATCTTTACATTTCTGTTGTAATAAAACATATATATCACCATTAATGCATCAAGAGAAGTTCCTTAAGATTTCTACATTATTTCTTATGTTTTTCAGGAATTTTCTGCTGTTACAACACAGAATAAACCCAGACATGACAGTTTCTTACACCCTTGAAGTGGCCAATGCGAGTTTTGGTGGCTTCTCCAAGCTCCTGTTCAGGTGGAAGGGAAGCATCTACAGGCTGCTTTACAAAGAGCTTCTGGTGTTCTGTGGGGTTTATCTGTTTTTCAGTGTGTTGTACAGGTAAATGAACTGATTTCATCTTTAAATTTCTTTGTGTGATTGAGTGTTTGTGTCAGCTGAAGTTTTCATTTTCCTCACAGGTTCATGCTCACATCAAAGCAGCAGGATCTGTTTGAGCGTGTCGCCCTTTACTGCGACCAGTTCACCAACACCAACTTCATCCCAGTTCTGTTTGTACTGGGTGAGTCTGATTGAGCTGGCTTTATCTTACACAAGTCACATCTGAACATGAGTCACCATAATTCATGTTTCCTTTTACTCCAGGTTTTTATGTGACCCTGGCCTTTAACCGCTGGTGGGGTCAGTACACCAGCTTCCCCCTGCCTGATAACCTGATGATGGTGGTGTCTGGGAACGTCCACGGGGCGGACGAGAGGGGTCGTCTGCTGCGGCGAACACTCATGAGATACGCCAACTTATCTTCAGTCCTCATTCTCCGCTCTATTAGCACAAGAGTTCACAAGCGTTTCCCAACTTTGGAGCACGTAGTGGAGGCTGGTGAGAACAACAGTGGAGAGATATTAAGAAAACTTTACTTGAGCATCTTTAAAATTTTCAAATACATGTAGAATATTGTTCTTTTTAATGTACTTCTCTAACACCTGAATCTCTTCTTACTTTGTACAACATGGTTTTGCTTTTATAATGTACAGAAATTTAAATTACCCAGCAAACAGAAAACATATAACATAACACAAAG